ACACTTACTCAGGTCAGCATGGTCTTGACCCCTTTTCTCATCACTACTCTCTCTCTACAACTGGATTCTAGGAGTTCAGCTACGTGATTAGCTGTGAATCTCTGCTTCTGCTTCCATCAGCTACTGGATGAGGGCTCTAGGATGGCATTTAAGGTAGCCATCACTCTTGTTATAGAGGAAGAGCATTTAAGGTAGCCTCCCCACTATTGCTTAGATTCTTATTTGGGGTCATCCTTGTGGATTCCCGAAAATTTCCTTAGTGCCAGGATTCACATTAAGCTCATAACAGCTCCTTCTACCAAGGTATCTCTTTCCTTGCTCTATTTCTCTGTTCTTCCCCCAACTCAACCTTCCTGATCCCTCATGTTCTTTCCCCTCCCTCTCTCCGCTCATCTTTCTCCTATCTCCTTCCCCCTCCCCTGTGCTCCCAATTTACTCAGGAGATCTTGTTCCTTTCCCCTTCTAGTGGAGTCCATGTATCTCCTTAGGAAACCCCTTGTTTCCTAGCTTCTCTGGGATTGTGGATTGTAGGCTGGTTATCCACTGCTCTATGTATAATATCCACTTATGTTTGTGTGTCTGTGTCTTGGTTAACTCAATAAGGATGGTTTCTTCTAGTTCCATCCATTTGCCTGTAAATTTCAAGATGTCATTTTTTTTACCAATGAGTAGTAATCCATTGTGCAAATTTACTACATTTTTATGCATTATTCAGTTGAGATAAACCTAGGTTATGTCCAGTTTCAGGTTATTATGAATATTGTGTCTATGAATATTATTGAGGATTTTTTGTTGTATGGGTGTGCATCTTTTGTGTATATACCCAATAGTGGTATTGCTGGGTCTTGAGGTATATTGATTCACAATTATTTGTGAAACTGCCATACTTATTTCCAAAATGGGTATACGATTTTGTACTCCTACCAGCAATGGAGGAGTATTCTTACTCCACATCCTTTCCAGCATAGGCTTTCATCAGTGTTTTTGATCTTAGCCATTATGACAGGTATCTCAGAGTTGTTTTGATTTTTATTTCCCTGATGGTTAAGGATTTTGAACAATTCCTTAAATGTCTTTCAGCCATTTGAGTTTCTTATGTTGAGAATTCTGTTTAGATCTGTACCCGTTTTTAAATTAGATTGTTTAGTATGTCAGTGTCTGGTTTCTTGAGTTCTTTGTACATCTTGGAGATCAGTCGTCTGCCAGATTGTGGGGCTGGTAAAGATTGTTTCCCATTCTGTGGACTGCCATTTTGTCTTGTTGACTGTGTCCTTTGGCTTACAGAAGCTTCTAAGTTTCAGGAGGTTCCATTTCTGTGTCTGTGTACTGAAGGTATATTCATGAAGTGATCTCTTGTACCAATTTATTCAAGAGTACCTCCCACTTTCCTTTCTATGAGGTTCAATGACCTTGGATTTATGTTGAGGTATTTGATCCAATTTGACTTGAATTTTGTGCGTGGTGATAGACATTGACGTATTTATATTCTTCTACATGTCGACTTCCAGTTATGCCAGCCACATTTGTTGAAGATACTTTCCGTTTTCCATTGTATAGCTTTACTTCTTTGTCCAAAACCAGGTTTCATGGGTGTGTATTAATATCAGGGTTTTTAGTTCGATCCTATTGGCCCACATGAGCTGTCCTCATTGCTGTAGCTCTACAATAAAGCTTGAAGTCAGGGGTGCTGATTCCTCCTGAAGTTCCTTTTTTGCATAGGGTTGTTTTGGCTATCCTGGGTTTTTTATTTTTCCTAATGAAGTTGAGTATCATTCTTTAAAGATCTGTGAAGAATTGTTCTTGGATTTTGATGGTGATTGCATTGAACCTGTAGATTGCTTTTGGTAAGATTTTGTTTTTTACTATCCAAGACCATGGGACATCTTTCTAATTTCTGATGTCTTCTTTAATTTCATTCCTTTACACCTTAAAGTTCTCATCATACAGGAATTTCTCTTGTTTGGTTAGAGTCATCCCACGATGTTTTATGTTGTTTGTGGCTATTGTCAAAGGTGATGTTTCTCTGATTTATTTTTCAGCCCATTTATCCTTTGTATATAAGAGGGCCAATGACTTTTTTTGTGTAAATCTTGTACCCTGCCATGTTGCTAAAGGTATTTTTCAGTTGTAGGAGTTCCCTGGTAGAATTTTTCATGTCACTAATGTAAAATATTATATCATCTGTGTATAGTTAATATTTGACTTTGTCCCTTCTAATTTTTATCCCCTTTACCTTTTGTTATCTTATTGCTCTAGCAAAACTTTGAGCACTGATATTGAGGGAGTGGACAGCCTTGTGTCGTTCCTGAGTTTAGAGGAATTACATTGAGTTTCTCTCCCTTTAGTTTCATGTTGGCTGTTGGCTTGCTGTATATTGCCTTTTTATGGGTAGTAATGGTATCTTTAGCCCTGATCTTTTCAAGACCTTTATCATGAAGGGGTGTTCAAAGGCTTTTTCAGCATCTAATGAAGTGATCATGTGTTGTTTTCAATTTGTTTACATGGTGGTTTGCACTGATTTTTGTATGTTGAACCATCCCTGCATATCTGGGATGAAGCCTACTTGGTCAGGTGAACTCTTGGATTCAGTTTTCCAGTATTTTATTGAGTTTTTTGCATCAATGTTTATGGGGGAAATTAGTTCATAATTTTCTTTCTTAATTGCATCTTTGTGTTGTTTGGGTATCATGGTAATTGTAGCCTTGCAAAAAGAGTTTGGCAGTATTCCTTCTCTTTATACTGTGCGGAACAATTTTAGGATTATTGGTATTAGCTCTTCTTTGCAGTTCTGGGGGAATTGTGCACTGGCCTGGGCTGCTTTTTCAGTTGGGGACTTTTGATGACTATTTCTATTTCCATTAGGCTCATAGGTCTATTTAATTTGTGTATCTGGTGTTGATTTAATTTTGGCATGTGGTAGTTATCTAGAAAATTGTACATTTCCTTTAAATATTGCAATTTTGTATAGCAATATTTTATATAGATCCTGTCCTGGAACTAGCTCTTGTAGACCAGGTTGGTCTCAAACTTACAGAACTCTGCCTACCTCTGCCTCCAGAGTGCTTGCATTAGAGGCACATGCCACCACTGCCTGGCTTGAATTCTAACTTTAATCCATGTTGATCTGATTAGACATGGGGTTATTCCATGTTCTTTGTATTGAGGTGTGCTTTGTTGTGGAGTATGTGGTTAATTTTAGAGTAATTTCCATGGTGGTGCTGTTATGAAATCATATTCTTTTGTGTTTGGGTGGTCACTGGTGTGGTGGGGTATCTCATACATAGGAAGGCACTGGATGCCAGATGGGACACAGGTGCTCTTTCTCAGAGTTACTTCTTAAGAAAGTTTCTGGTCGCCGGGCATTGGTGGCACACGCCTTTAGTCCCAGCACTCGGGAGGCAGAGGCAGGCAGATCTCTGTGAGTTCGAGGCCAGCCTGGTCTACAAAGTGAGTTCCAGGACAGCCTCCAAAGCTACAGAGAAACCCTGTCTCGAAAAACCAAAAAAAAAAGTTTCTGGTCACTGCTGCTGTTGATGCTTCCTGGCGCTGCCTTTTTCTCTGTTCTTCTTACACCACACAGCTTGGTACTGCCGCCATGCTGTCCCTCCGATGCTTCCCAGTCACAGGCTAACAGGGACATTGCTCTTACACAAAATAAATAAACATAGTTCAGGAATCCAGTTGCGGAGAGGGAGGAGGGACGAGCAAATGAGCCAAGATGGTGCTGGAGACAACCACAGAAAAGTTGACCTGTTCTAATGAGAGCACTCATACCCTAACGGTAAAGCAAGGGAACCAGCATTGGATCAAACCAAGTCCTCTGAGTGTGGGTACCAGCTAGGAGGCCAAGGCAGTCTATGGAACCTCTAACAGTGGGGCCAAGTTTTATTCCTAGGTCACAAACGTACTTTGGGAGTCCATTTCTTATGGAGGGATACTATTGTCGTCCAGATACAGAAAGGAGGGCCTGGGACTTCCCCTAAATGATATGATGGACCTTAATGATCCCTGGTTGAGGGCCTCACTATCCCTGAAGAGTAGATGAGTTGGGGGGACAGTGGGAAGCATGGGAGGATGGGAAGGTGAGGGAATGGGGGGATGGATATGTAAATAAGAGTATTTCTAAAAGAAAAAATAAACATGGTCACAATATTCTGAAGACTGATATTACCAGCTTGTCATAAAAAATAAAAATCAACCTTCAAGTGGCTGTGGATCAGTGACATGGGCCAATGCATATAGGCATTTGCATCTTTTTCTGACATGCTGAGGCCAGTGAATCAAGCTTTCCTCTGACCTGTACTCAAGTACCATGTCCTGTACTCACCAACCCATACTGAGACTAGTCCTGTATAAACTCACAAGCAAATATAATATGTGAGAAAGTATAAAAATCAAAGAAAATGAAGTGATTACATACTGTATACTCCCTATCCTATGAACTATTAAATAAATCCAAGGGCCTACAGTGTTCTGTGATAACATTCATTCATTGGTACATTCATTCATTCATTCATTCTGTAGAGGTATCCAAGTTTTTGGTAGTATTTTATTTTAAATTAGACAAATCAAATTTATTTTTGCAATGGCCAAGTCAGTCATTGTGGATTTAAAAAATCCAAGGTAGAAGGTGAAGTCAGCTGTTGGCTTCAGCCTCAAGTGAAACACTACACCACCCAAGTCAGAGCGTGAAGACAGAGGGTGTGTAGAAGAGGTCAGGAAGCATCACTCCAAAACCTCCACTGTAAATGTGAGCAGGGGTTTGATGACAGTGAGCTGGGACAATGCTGCCAACTGGTGAGAGAGAGAGAGAGTCATATAGCAGAAATGACAAGTGTTGGGAAACTGAGAACATGAAGGTCATGTGCTGAACTCCACCAAGTAGGACACTTGCTTACAAACCTAGGCTGAGCAGTAGAGAGAATGGCTTAGGACACTGGGCCTCATCTTAGTCAAATACAAAAGTTCCAATCCACGTGAATCTCTTTCTTCCCTTCTAGCTTTCCTTTGGACTTGTGGGCGCCATGACACCTCTTCCAAGCCCACTATTGAATCAGTGCCGCCCAGCATTGCTGAAGGGGGGAGTGTTCTTCTACTCGTTCACAATCCCCCAGAGAATATTATAGCCTTCTCCTGGTTCAAGCAGCTGATTGCGTTCAAGAAAACTAAGGTTGCCAAGTACTATGTAGACAGGAAATCAACTGTGTGGGGGCCTGCATACAGTGGAAGAGAGACACTGCTTAGTGACGGATCCCTGATGCTTCATGGCGTCACTAAAAAAGACTCTGGATTGTACACTCTGAAAATTCTGAGAAAAGATAAGACACATGAGGAAACACAAGTGCAGCTCCAGGTGCACAGTAAGTGACTCTCTGTGAATGCTCAGGGTTGGATGGGATGAGACACACAGGACTGACGTGGCTGGCCTGACCTCCCTTCTGTCTGCATTGTGTTCCCTTGTGAAGGGTGGAGAAGTTAGTGCAGGACACCCTAGTAGAGACAAATGGCCACAGAGCAGCTTCCATCTTCTGAATCCCTCTGCATTAACAAAGCCCTTGATGGAAAGTAACTAAGTCCAAGATGTCAGAGTCAGCTCATTCTCTTGGGGCTCTAGAACAGAGAGCCTGGAATCCTGTCATATTTCCAAGGCTGGACTAAAGTGACCCAGCGGAAACCTTTCTAGTGTTCTACTATTACATCCTCTCTAAGCTGATAAGGAACAATGGTTTTAGAACATCCATGTCAAACTGGGGCTATTTATTAGCTATAAATTGAAAGTGTCATAAATAAAATCCAGGAACTGCTACAGAGAGCATGGAGGGGTGCTTCCTATTGGCTTGCTCTCTTATATCACCCGGACTCCTAGCCCAGGGCCTGAAATGCATGCATTGGTCTGAATCCTTTTGCATTAATCTCCAATTTAAGAAATTGTATTACAGTATTGCCCACAGGATAATCTGGTGGTGTCGTTATCAACTGAGATCTTTTCTTGCAAAATAACTATAGCTTGTGCCATGTAGACATAAAACCAGTCAGCCCAGTATACAAGCCTTTTAATGGCCAGAGCCTTCCTTGAAGATCAGACCCCACACTGCCCCAGGCCCTGGACCTGAGAGCTCCTTGACAGAGCAGCAAGTTCATCTATTAGTGAAGTCAGGGGTTGAATGCTTTCTAGGTTGAAAAAAATCTAGAAAGTGAACGTTGCAGACTTTTTGAATTCAGGGGGGAGTATCATCTCAAAACGCAGTGTGCATGAATGTGTGCAGTGTCTGACTAAGGGCGTTGAGGGAGCATCCATGGAGCCACCCAAGGAAAGAGTTCCATTCAGTGGATATGACCCTTTGAGGGGCACTGTTGGAAAGGAGGAGGTCGTGTTTCTGTTATAAGACACACTTACAGCTCTAGGCTGAGTGAGGAATCCATGTGTTCAGGATGGAGATTACCATCTTTTCGCCAAGACCAATGATCCCCATATGATTGCTTTTTACTCTCTTCCCTTCCAGCATTCCCTTCTCCATGCTGTATCTCTCTTACTTCTTCCCAACTCATTATCGATGTGGTGCCTCAGTATGCTAATGAACGGGATCGTGTTCTTTTCCAAGTTCATAAACTTCCAGAAGATCTGAAAGCCTTTTCCTGGTACAAATTGGTATATAGGGACCAGGTCATTAAAATTGTAGAATACAGCAGAACCACGACTTCCACCTCCTGGGGGCCTGGATATGGAAGAAGGGGAATGGTATTATATGATGGATCCCTGATGCTCCAAGGTGTCACCGAGAAAGATGCAGGAATCTACATGCTAGAAGTTTTAAACAAAGAATCCAAAATTGAAAAATCATACGTGAAATTTTATGTAAAGAGTAAGTACTCTCTAATGTCTACAATTTCTGGGTGTGGCCTATCCTACTTCATACTCTTAACTGTCAGATTGGACCGGGCCTCTCCTCTCCCCCACTGCATTGTGGCTCACTGTGGTTTGTGCCCTTACTGCAGGATATGCTGTGGGTAGAGAAGCTGCAATAGGTGAGGACATCTCACCTCTCTTTACCCGCAGAGAGGAGGACCTGTGCTGGGATAGCCAGTCTCAGATGTCACGTGCAGGTCTGACATTTGGAGCTCTCCCCATGCACTTGTCACCAGAAATACTGTGGGAGTGAGGCATTCCCTAGCAGATGAAGCTATGAGGTCCTCACAGAGAACACCAGGAATCTCTGACCCCAAAACTTTGCCACTTGGACTCAAGGTGACACTAGAGAGCTTTTCAAAAGTGTTTGATTTCCTGTCAGAGTCACTAGGGAACAGGGCTTTACTGCCTGTAGAAGTCATGGGACTCATTTTCCCACAGAGTTTAGAGTTGGCTGTATACTGCCTTGACAGCTGCAGTTGGGTAGGTCACCTGTGTCTCTCCTTCTCCTGAGGCTGTGTGGACAGGTGTCTGGGCCATCAGCCTATTGTTCTGATGAGCTCATGAGACTTCACAGGAAGGTGAAGGCAGCAAGGAAAGAAACAGAGTAGGCAGCTTCTCCAGATTCCTCTTTCTCTTCAGGGGACCAATCTAGGGAATTTTCTTCTGCATGTACATGGTAACAGATTCTGCTGATATGATCAGATCCCTATTCCAAGTTTAGACCTTGCTCATAACTTAAGGTTATCTCATGAATAGGGCAATGACCTATTTAGGAGAAACTGGAGTACAGGAAACAGTGCCTAAATTAGAGTCACACATCCCTGTATGGCACATCTAAAGTACAAGATATGTCTTTAGCCACAGCTCCAAATTCTCCCTCTTTGGAAGCTATGAACTAAAGAGGGCCTGTTGAATTCTCTGAGCTGCTGTCATTTGGTAACCTCCTTTGTTTTTTCACAGAGAATTTGGCACAGCCCTTCGTGCAAATCACTGACAGCACAATTGCAGGACGTAGATCTGTGATCTTCACCTGCATTTCACGGGACACCGATGTCTCTATTCGTTGGATCTTCAATAACCAGAGTATGAATCACCTACAAAGAATGACTCTGTCCCCAACAAAGTGTGGACTCAGAATAAGTCCTGTTAGGAGTGATGATGCTGGAGAGTATCAATGTGTCGTCTCCAAAGGAATCAGTTCAAAGACCAGTCTCCCAGTCTCCTGGCCGTGAGAAGTGAGTGACCTCTCCTCCCATCCTACAGTAGAATTCTGGCATTTCTTTATCAATGGGTTAAAAATGGAGAATAGTCATGAGATAAAAATGATCAGTTAATACTTAGGTACATTCAATATGGTGAATTACGCTGATAATCCTGGTACTCCTGTGTGTGTACGGGCAGTCGAGGATTTAAAGTGAGGTTGTCTTAAAAGAAAAATAAAGACATCAATATGATAAGCAAAAATTCAATGGCCTTAAGAGCTTAGGTTTTGGTTCAAATGTATAATGATACCTCAGATTCATGGGAACTCATTTCAGGATCCTTCAAGCTTTTTGAATCTGTGAGTCTGTGGGGAAAATGGTGTATTGCTTGCATACAGGAAAACATCCTCTCATGTGCTCAGATTCATTCCCTGTTTAATTACTTTGCCCAAGCCCAGTGCTGCCTGCACAGCATTCATCCATGTGAAGTGAGAAAGTATAATGGGAGAAAGGCCTGCTCATGTTTCACTGTGGACACAGCTGGTTTCTAAATGGCTGTGCCTTACAGTTTGTTAGATGCACAGATGTAAAATCCTTCATTTAAATGTTTTTCTAGTCATGTTTCTTTCTGTCCTGAATTTCTGTGCACTCAGCCTCTGATTCCCAATCATCCAGCAGTGTCTGGTCTGTGCCAAATGTTCTGCTCCATCGTTACCCCAGTACATATTTCAGGAAGTACAGATTGTAGGTGGATTTTTTGTGACTGGATTGGTGTCCCAGTGTCATTGCTGGAAGCCTTCTGTTGTTATAGATGATGGCAGCTTCTGACTATTTACATCTCCCTACCAGAAGTTGTTAGCAGTGTTACCTTTGTAGATTTCAGGGCATTCATATTGTAGTAGTTTTCCACATTTCTCCCAAAGTGCCCCTAACATTCCACTCCCCCAAGTACTCTCTCCTCCCATATCAGGTCTCCCACTCTTTCTTCTTGTTCCCATTCACACCTGCCACCAGCCCATCCACAAAATCTATTCTATTTCTTTTTCCTAGTGAGATAAATGAGTCCCACTTAACTCTTCCTTGTCACGTAGCTTCTATTTGCATGTGAGAAAAGGGCATCTAATAGACTGTGTGCAATATTAGTTTATATAGGAAGAGCTGGGATGGGGGTGCTAGTTCACCATTTCCAGAAACATCTGTGGAATCCTTAGGATTTTCCAAAAATAATTTCATGTCATCTGAAGATGTATTTTAAAGCCAATTGACTTGAAACATTTTATTCACTTGTGTTAACTTTTTGTTCTTTCTAGGGCATCTGAGGGAATTATGAAGAACTGTGGCTACAGCAGCATCCTTGTGTTAGGTCTGGTCTTAGAGGGAAAGTGTTAATTTCCCCAGTGAGTACAGCATTGGTTGTTGTTTTTCTCACATCCTCCTACAGCCCTTGTCTGTCTTCTAACACTAGTTTTCTTTTTTCATTATTAAAAGTTGTTCACTTTTGGCAAACTTCTTTATTGAGTCAGTTTTATGAATTATAAATGGAATCATTTTTGTGTTTCTTTTGTTTTCATCTCTGTGGGTTCTGGCTGTCTAGTTGTTTGTCTGTTTCATGTAAGTAATTCTACAATTTCCCATCTCTATTGAGAGCCATGAGAATTTTAGTAATCTGAAAAATGAACAGCAAGGTGTCAAGTTTCACTTCTAGTGTTAATTAAGTTACTCTTTTAAAACAAGTTTATATAATTGAACTTGTTAATGCTATTAATCACTTTATAGGATGAACCTTTCTTTTTATTTAAAATACATTCTTTTTTAAAAAAAGATTTACTTATTTTTATTTATTTATTATGCATACATTGCTCTGCCTGCTTGTATCCTTGCACACCAGAAGAGGGCACCAGATATCATTACAGATGCTTGTGAGCCACCATGTGGTTGCTAGGAATTGAACTCAGGACCTTTGGAAGAGTAGACAGTGCCTTTAACCTCTGAGCCATCTCTCCAGCTCCCTTAAAGTACATTCTTTTTCTCAAATAATATATAATGTTTATAGTTTCTTCTTTCTCAACCCTTCCCAGTTTCTTCCCAAACCACCTACCATGGGGATCCACTCCCTTTCTTTCTCTCATTGGATAACAAGAGGCCTCTAAGCGATAATAACAAAACAGGAGAAAATAAAATATAATAAGATGAAACAAAGACTGTCACATTGGTGTTGGACCTTGCAATCCAACAGGTCCAAATGAGTCCCAAGAGAAGACATAAGAGTCTCATGAAACCCAGGTGTCTCACAAAAATACTAAGGTAATAGTTATACTACACATACAGAGGGACTTGTACCTACTCATGTAGGCCTGTGCATGTTGATTCAGTCTCTGTGGGTTCACATGTGCCTTGCTTAGTTGATTTATGGTGCCTTGTACTCCTGGTGTCCTCCATTCCCTCTGACTGTTATACTTTGTCTCCTCTTCTAAGGGGTTCCTTGACTTCTGAGGGGATACATTTGATGGAGACGTCCCCTTTAGACTGTCCACATTGTAGTTCTTACAGTTCTGTAGAGAAATGCATCCTGGCCATTGGAAACCAGGCAATACTTTTATGTATTACAGATCTGAAGGAATCCAGGCAGTACCTGTACATATATAGATCTGAAGGGAAATGTATCTTGGCCATCAGAAGCCAGGTGTAACCTACTTCTTGGATCATAGAAATCTACCTGCCTGTGCCATATGTCAAAGCTTACTTGGGCCTGTACACAATAGCAGAGAAACAATGTTCACCAATGGATCTTTGCTGTTTCGAACAACATACTGATGAATACGTGATTTCTAAAGTGTTTTATTTTATTTCATTTTCTTTCCCACATTAGGGTTTAAATGCACCCAGGTGATACAAACTACGTTGCTAGAATCTTTTATCTGAATTCACCCAGTTGAGAGTAGAATGTAGCCCTAAGAAAACCTTGTCATTCAGGGAGGGTATGGCTGAGAGAAGTATAGAATGTTACAACAGGAGATAACCCCCCACCCCAATCAGGACATCTTGACTCCAGGTCATTGTCCAAGATTCCTGATTACAGGCGATCTGGGGAGTGTAGGCAGTCTTGGAATCTGAGCTGTTAGAGTTATCTATCATCTTTCTGAATTGTGGCTCAAGGAACCAGGCAGTTTTTCCGTGAGAGACACAGTTAGACTAGGTTACCTGATCATGTCCTTCTGAGTCTCAGCACAGTCAGCACAGCTGCACAGGTGCCCAGGACCTTGGCCAACTGCTCTGATGGGCTATGTGGCTTCACAGGATGGTCATGGGATGCAAGTGGAGGAATAGAGGACCCAGGTGCTCCCGATGACTGCATGCCCACAGGGATTAAGTCTCCTCAAGTCTCTCCTTTAGGTAAATCATAACAGGTATTGCTGATACAGATACCTGTCTTGCCCCAATGCCATATCCTTGTTCATATTTAGCCTCCTTATTGCCATGACAGCATTCATTTACCATATGTCTTATCAGTGTGTTATCAAGATACAGAAACACAGTGGCCAAATTAGGGTCACGCAGATGGTGGATGGCAGATGTGAAGCACAAGCTATTTGTCTACAGCTGCTGTAGAAGGGGAGCAGCTGTTTTCAGAGACATTAATCTTGGTCATAAGTATCTTTAGGGGATGTCTGGCACAGGAAATGAAAACAAATAAGCAAATAGACTTGATTTTAGAAATAAGCCACCTGGCTCTGAAGAATTTCTCCAGAATTTCATGTCCCCTAAGCTCCCATACCATAGATGTGGTTGTGTATTTTCCTGTGTGTTATAATCACTACTACTGGAAAATAAAATTGTTGTCTTAAATCGTTCCCTTCAAGTAGATTCTGTATAGCAAGGGACTTTCTGATGAACAAGTTACTGTGTAATTCAGTTTTAGCCTCTGCCTCTCATCTTACCCTATTGTGTTCTTTATAGAAATAAACCTTGCAGTGACTGGCCTCAGATTCTGGGTACTAGTAACAGTGGTAACATATGGAATAAGTGGCCATTCCAAATCCCTACCCGAGATCTGCTAAACACAATTGTCCCTTTCAGCCTGAGTCCCAGCAAGTTCTTTCTCTCTACCCTCTAACAGTCAGATCTGCCTCTGAAAAAATCCACTTGGAATGGCTGGAGTGATGGCTCAACTGTCAAGATCAATGATTTCTCTCATAGATGACCAAAGTTCAGTTACCAGCATATATGCAGCAGCTCATACCCATCTATAACTCTGGTTACATTCATTTGCCTTCAAATTTCATTGTTTTTTTGTAATAAATTTTTTTCAGAAAAAAATTTGCTAAATAATATTTATTAATTCCAGAGTAAATATTTTACTTTTATTACAAAAGATGCCAACACTTACTCAACTTAACACTAGCTGCTAAAAGGAACATCAAAAAATATTATTTTCTCTATGGCAACCTTTTATAGTTCTCCTTAAATATTTTTCAGAGAGTGCAAGAAGACTTACAAAGTGAAATATGTTTGTGGACAGGCCAACAATCATGCATTGTTTGATCTCCAGGACTCATTATGTAGTCATATATGTGTGTATACATACATATGCACACACACACACACATGCATGCACAAACATATATATGAGAGAGAATATTATAGATAGAGATAGATGATAGACAGATAGATGATAGAAATATATAGATGACTGAGTGATAGATCGGTGATAGATAGATAGATGATAGATAGATAGATAGATAGATAGATAGATAGATAGATGATAGATTGATAGATACAAGACAGTTCATTTAAGGGACTGTGACAGATAGGATAGTCTCAAAATCCAGAACATTAGTAGTCTTTCAAATAAAATTAAGAAGCAAATAGAATCCAGAAGGAAAAACTCAAAGCAATAATAACACATAACTAGTATTCATATAATGTATTCAAACCTTTTTTTGACTTCTACATTAATTACACAATGGCAAAAAATAGAAGCAGATATATGGAGAAAAGCAGTGACATGGAAAAAAGAAGCAGGCATGTGG